GCAGCCTCCACAGAAGAGACAAGAAGAAACCAAGGAATTGGCTATGGAGGAGAGCACCAGGTGAGGGCAGGGCAGAGTGTACAAGGCTGGGAGGCTTGTGGGCAGCTGCTGCACAGGGAGGCACAGTCCCAATACTTCTTCAGCTGGGACAGAAGTGAGAATGATTTTCCAGTCTTTATGGGGCCTTTTTGGACTTCAGGAGGGGGTAAATGAGATGGTAAGAATTATATGTACAGTTAAAGAGGCTTTTCATGCTAAAATACAGTAAAATAATCTTTACTTACTGCCTCAGTGACTGCATGAATAAAAAGTTCCTCTGGGGTTGCCTGTGTGGCTCAGTTGGCTAAGCGCCCAACTTCAGGTCATGATCTCACAGTTGGTTTTGAGCCCCACTCTCAGCACAGAGCCTGCTTTGGGTCCTTTGCTTCCCTGTCTGCCCCTCCCCCACTCACTTACACATGCCCTCTCTCTCTCTCTCTCTCAAAAATAAATAAAAATTTAAAAAATTAAAAAAAAAAGTTTCTCTGACTACAATGTGGAGAAAGGTTATGGACACCCTAGTGTGTGTAGAAGGTGAGACCTGGGCCAGCCCTGAAGACCAAGAGACACTCAGGTTTGCATACAGGTAATGAGGACCAAACACTATGGTCTTTCTGCCCCAGCTACCCCAGCCAGGCTCCAGGTGTTATCATCCATTTATTTATTATCCTAAGATTTACCAGGTAGGAGTGCTGACCTGGAAACACCATCCGAAAGGGGATGAATGCAAATAAGCTGTGGCCTTGCATTCAGGGAGCTCGGTGTGGTAGAGAACAAGGCCAACAACCGAACACAGGAGATGGAGAGAATAGTAGGGCCTGTGGGAGCTATCAGAGTTTTAATTTATATTTCATCAGTATATATTTTTTATTTTTAAAATCTAGGTTTAACCAGGAGATGCAGATGACATTCCAATATTACTTGATTATGGATTGAAACTCTGCTATATATATATATATATATGTATATATTTGTATATATTTATAAATATTTTATATGTATATATAATTTTTCTTTTAAGTATGCTATACACTCAATGTGGGGCTTGAACTCAAGATCCTGGGATCAAGAGTTGCATGCTCTACTAAGCCAGCAGGTACTCTGAAAATTTGCTAATTCTAAAGATGTCAGTATGGTGAAGGCCTCTAGGATTTCAGGGACAGTTCTTAAAAAGTGGCATATCTACCAATGGAACGGTCAACTTAGGACCTGTCTTTGCAAAAGTATTCCTCTTCTACACATCTGGTCCATCACAAAGAAATCTCACTCTGCCTCCAGGCCTCCTCCAGCCCATTGTCCATCTGGATGTCAGCTCTGTCCTCATAGTAGGTAAGTTTTGTCTTGTTGCTCTGCAGTGTTCATTGCTTCCCCCCCTCCTCCTTCTTGCCACAGCCCATGTGGCCCACAGGCAGTGCCCTGGCAGTGTTGGGTCCTTCATCTTCCTGGCTCTGCTCAAGCTGAGTCCCTTATTTGGAACTTCTACCCCATCTCTTTTCCTTGTCTCAGCAACTGGCCTTCAGGTCAAGCCACTTTAAGCCTCAGCCTAGCATTTACATGACCTCTCTGTGTGACAGGCACTGAGGATCTGCTAGTGAGCAGGACAGCCTCTATGGACCTGATTCTGATAACAAAGTTAGATGTGACTCACACAAGGAAACACTAAAACAAATTGTTGTAAATAGAAAAAAAAAAAAAAAGCAGGGGTGGAAATATATGAGTATAAAGAAGATAGCTGTGATCCATTCCAGCAGGCAGGAGACATTTGCCAAAAAAGTCCTTCAAACTGATAACTGGCTGATAAGGAAGAGGGGTAACAATGTTTCCAGGCAGCAAGAGTCACATGTTCTTTAAGGAATGGAAAGGAGGGAAGTGAGCTGGAGAACAGACTGAAGATGGAGGGAGGGGCAAGGGATGGGCTGCCCTTGGTCTCATGTATTAGGACAAAGACCTTAGTCATTATCTTAAGAGCAATGAGAAGAGTTTTATTTAAAATAGGAGCAACATGTTGATGCTATGCTAGTGATCCTGTTATGGTAAGACTGTTGAGGAGGAAGATTATGGTGACAGTGATGTTGGTGATGATCATGTGATGATGAGGACAGTGATAACAGGGATGAAATAAGGATAAGACCGATGTGATGGTGACAGTGATGCTGACATGGTGATAATAATGGTGATGATGAAGATATGTAGATTGAAAATGAATAAACAAATAAACAGAAAGAACCAGACCTATAAATACAGAGAACAAACTGATGGTTGCCAGAGGGGATGGGGGTGGAGGAATGTGCAAAACAGGTGAGGGGAGGTACAGGCTTCCACAGAGAATATAGTCAAGGGTGTTGTAACAGCGCTGTGTGGTGATATTTGTGGGGAGCACAGCATGACATATAGACTTGTTGAATCACTAGGTTGCACACCTGAAACTAATGTAACATTGTGTGTCAACTATACTCAAAAAAACAAAAATATAATCTAAAAAATTAAAAAAAAGATGTGTTGACTGAGATGCTGATGGAAATGGTGATGGTGGTGAAGAGTCCAGCACCAATACCTGCTAGGACGGTAGAGACAAGAGGACTGTCCTGGACACTGATGGAGCAAGGATGGAAAGAAACAACACTTGATGTGGAGTGAGACACACCAGAGCTCTGCCATCTATTTTCTGGATGCCTTTGAGAAAATGCCTTCATCTCACATCTGCCTCAATTTCCTCACCCTCAAAAAGAATCCCAAAGGTGAAACAATGTGTATGAAATTACCTGGCACCCAGTAGGTACAACTGTAAATTTCCTTTGTTTCTCCCTGACACAGAGGCTTGTAGCTAGGCATATGACGATGAGGGCCTCATTTGTGCAGCCCAGTCAGGTGACACTGCCTATTGCTGAGGGACATAGTGTTGCTGCTAGGAGCCCAAGAGCTCTTGTTTAGATCATTCCCTTCAACTTGAGAGTCCTGGCTGCTGGCTGTCTATGGGAACAGCTATGTGAGGTAGAGGTTCTGCTTGGGGCTACTTCTGCCACTTCAACTGCCCACACCCTGACACACCTGAGCTTCATGCTAACACTACAGTAATTCCTGTTCTGCTGCCAACTCTGGGGGATGCAGCAATAAATACTCTGCATGTCTCGGGAAAGGCAGCTTGTACTCATCCTGAGCCTTCCCACAATGGCAAGGCACTTAACCTCCTTTGGTCTCAGTTTCCCACCTAGAAGCTGTCTTGCTGATTCAGTGTAGTGTTCCCATGATGTCATGTGCTGGTGCTTGCATGCAGTAGGTGCCCCACAGTGAGGCTGTGTGCAGTCACTTAGTTTCTCTCTCCCTTGGGGGGCAGGACTTGGGGGCCTGTCCACTTGGCAGTTTGAATTTGCATCAAGCTTTTCCATAGTTTCAGCTTATCTCCAGCTTCCTGGATGGTGCCTTCTGTCTGGCCCCTGGACAAGGGCAGTCCCAGGAGCCAGAGGCTTTTGAAATGCCACACATGGTGAAGATTTTATTTCCAAAGTGACATGTAGATTTGCTAACCTGTACTGCTCATTTTCTCTGTATCAGTATGTGGTCTCCTATAGCACCCACAACGTGTACAGACAGGCATGTTCTGACCCATACTGAGATCAGAGAATGGAGGGGAATAGAGCATTTAAAGGTGGTGATGTCACTAACCAAGAAGGGGCAGTGCTATGTCATCGCTACAGCAGTCAGCAAATACTGACCTTCGAGAAATGCTGATACCAGAGACCCCACATCCATGCTAGTCTGGATTTTTCCAGAAAGGGCAACCTGGGTGGTGCATGATTTTCAACAGTAAGGCAGGCTCCTTACTACACTTACCAGCTCATTCATCATGGGAGTTACTAACTTCCATTTCCCTGGAGCTGTTGCCTGTCACCAGCTATCAGAAGGATTGAACCTTCAGTTACATTTTTACTGAAGGGTTGTCATTGAATGGTTTCCCTCTCCCAGGGAATCTGTATTCTAAGACAAGCACCTGCTGAGGGCAAGACTGACAACCAGGGACTGGCAAGGGTATCTGTAAGGCTGACAGCAGGGGGCAGCCTTACCTCCAGCCCAGCTCTAGGCATACAGGCTTCAGAGTACACCTGCAGGGCAGGGCTCTGTTCCCTCCCCAGACCTGGGGCCACTTAAGGTCTGAGGGGTGACCCCCTGGGGAGCACAGGCCCTGGAAGAGGAGATAGGGAGGCAGGGTTAGCTCTCTGGCATTGCAAATTTTCTGGAGGAGGGAGATGTACTTTGTCAGAACAACCCTTAGAGTCTTTACCATAGTCTACCTTCAGGATGAAGTTGCTGCTCCTCCTCAAATACTGTAACAAACCCTCAAGAAAGGCATGGTCCCTGGGTTGAGTGGGAGTTAAGTGGGGGTCTCCCCTTACCTGTACCCCAGATATGTTCTATGGCAAGGCTCTGTCCATGGGGCACTCTTAGGAAAGAAGCTACTTGGCAGTGACTGTCAGCACCTGTGTAATTGGATGCAGGCCTCCAGGACAGGTGTATTGTCATCATGGGCCCCCAGTGGGGTCATGGAGACCCAGGGGGGCAAAGTAGTTCAGCCAAGGCTACAGTTAACCATAAGAGGCAAAGCCAGATTTCCTCTGAAGTCTTCAGCTTATGACACTGCTGAGAAAGAGAAGGGAGGCAGAAAGCAAATGCCTGTGAGGTCAGAGGGCCCTTAGCTGAGGGATGAGGCAGGACTCTGGTGTGTCACTTGCTGAATATGTTCCAAGTGACATTCATGATGTGAGGCTGGGATTCTTGTGGCTCAATGTCTGAAATTTTTGTCTCCCTCTAATCTTAAGAACATTCCGCCTGTGCTCAGGAAGTCAACAGCTCTGTAGCAGCTCCTTCCTCGGGCTCAGTATGGTGTCAAGCTGGGGCCTGGTGTGGGGCCAGAGAGGGGCTGGAGGAGTGTGGCACAAGCAGCATGGGGCGGGGGTCCTAGGGGCATGAAGCACTTAGTGCACTCCTTCTGCAGTGAGGGCAAGGGGGTCTGTGGAGCAGAGAGGACCCAAGCCTCTGGAGAGTGTGGTAAGGTAAGGGCTAGTGTTCTAGTATTGAGCATTTACCCCAGGCTACACATTGCACTACTTAGAACCTCTAGGTTTTTGCAGCATTTCCATGAGGTCTGCATAGGAAGCACTCACATTTCACAGATAAGGAAACAAATGTAGAGAGATGAGCAAAGCTTCCTAAGGTTTCAAAGCCAGGATCTCAATAACAGAAAGCCTGCTTACCTGAACTGGGGCATGCCTTGTTCTTTCCCAGGCCACCCCATTGTGGGCCCCAACCAAGTGCACATAACCATCTATACATTTCTGGATAACCTGTGATGTCCCAGCTGCTTGTGAACCTCCCATCCTCTTCTCTCTCCTGCCTTCCGCCCCTTTCCTCTAGCATCTGTGCAGCCTCTGCCAAGTGGGGTATCTGTCTTGCCACACAGGGACACCACAAGAGGGCAGCTGAATGCTCTCCCATGTGGAGTCCTGTGTAGAAGGGTTGTGGGACACACACACATTCACACATAGGGTCACCTATGTGAGCATACCCAGGCCCCTCTAGCCTGGTACCACTTCCTGAGGCCCTGTCATGTGCAGCCTCAAACGGAAGCTAGGCCTGTTCCAGTCCAGAAATCCTAGTTCCCAGATGGCTGCTCCTTCCCTTCAGATAGGACTGCCTATGACCACTGAATTCAATCCAATGTGGTGAGCATTCATTGCACACTCCCTGCTAGCCAACCAGATGGGTTTGGAGGACATCAAAATGGGGGACACTTCTCAAGAGATCAGAGATCAGTGACCAGTGAATCATGGCAATAGGCTGATCCATTTAGATGTGCCCACACACATGCAGCCAGGACAGCTGACAGCTATGCATGAATGTAGGAAGCCCTGTATGAGCAGAATTTTGCTTTGTTGTTTTATTTTTGTTAAACAGTCATCCCTAAGACCTGCTCAAGCTCAACATTTTTGCAGAGGAGTAGCACCATGAGGATCCTGCAGGGGAGATCTATACCTTGGGCGGGTACAGAACCAACCACCTGTGAGAAAGCCTGCCATTCCTGCCAGGAAGCCTGGGGGTTCAGTTGGCACCCTTCCCCCTGGACACAACAGCCTGGTCAGCCTCTGACCAGCTCATCAGCAGGCCACGTTAGCCAGCAACACCTCCTAAACTTTGGGGACCTCAGGGTGCCTGTCTCCGTGCTGTGCTGGCTGTTCCTTCCCTCAAGCCTGCTGGCTGCAGCCACACTGACTCTGAGCCTCCTGCTGCTGGCAACCATCCTGAAGAGCCAGAAGCTGTGGCAAGAGCTCCACTACCTACTGCTGGCTAACATCCTGCTTTCAGATCCGGCCTACCTTGTGTTCTACATGCTTATCTCATCCAGCAACTTGAGTGGCTGGACTCTGTGCCACATCACCTGTGGTGTTCTCACAGATGTTGTCTTTGCTACCTACACCAGCACCATCCTGTCTTTCATGGCCACCATGCTGCACACCTACCTGGCAGTTGCTTATCCTTTGTGCTACTTCTCCTTCATGTCCTGTGAGGCTGTCCAGAAAGTGGTGGCCCTCATCTGGCTGCTGGCCTAATTCTTCCCTACATGTCTCATTTGGCTTAGCAAGCAGCAAGATGCCAGTTTAGAGAAACAAGGGGCCTTATGCATCCTGCAGCTGACCCTGTGCAATGAGCCAGGCTGTGGCCCCTTGGTCACTATTACCCACACCTACATTTTATGCATTCACTTTCTATGCACAGGTCTCATCACCTACTGCTTCTGGAGGATCTATGCAGAGACCAGGACTTCAGGCATCTGGGTCCAGGGCTATTCCTGGGCCATGGGCACCCTGCTCATCCATACAGTGCTACTCATACTGTACGTTAGCCCTGTTATGGTGTTTTGCCTGGATATCATGCTAACCAAGTACAACCACATTGATGCCAAAACTCATGTGTGGCTCATGGCAGCCAACAGCGAGGTGCTTATGATGCTCCTCGTGCCATGCTCCCATACCTGTATACACTCCACTACTGGTAGCTGTTGGGGATGGTCGGGGGCCACTTCTCCTCCAGGAGGCACAGTGACATCTTCACCATTTTTAAGAGCTACAAATTTCACAGTTTGGCAAGCTGAGGTTAAAAATTATATGTTGGATGCATCAGCATTCAATTATCATCAACTCCAGAGAACTGTAATATACTTGTGCAACAGGACATTTAAGATGACCTCAGCATTCAACATTTCAAAAGTTTTTAAGTAGAGAAAGCTAACTTCTCACTGAAGCCCTACCTGAAAATTGAAGCAAGTAAAATGACTCAGCAGAGCTCTGATCAAAGTGAAGCTGAGGCCAGATCTGTGCCTTTCCAATGGTTTCCCCCATACCCTCCAAGGCCACTGACAAAGCATGTTGCTGACAAACACACAGAAACCAAAAGATTACTGAAAGTAATCTGAATCTGAAGTGTAAGCAAGCAGATTTGCTGAATCTGGGACCAAGAACCTCCATTTGGGTAGCTTCTCAGGATGTGGGAGGGAGGAGAGCAAACCTAGGACCCATCTATACCAGGGAGTGTCATGAAGACATCTATAAAGCTGGAACCCCAAACGATTATAGTCTCAGAACAAGGATATATGACAACTAACAGACAGCAAGGACTTTACTGCCTTGATATTGGTGCTGTGCAGAAGAGGAAGAAAATTCCTCAAGAATTCTTAAATAGAAGCTACCCTTCAGACAGGACTAGAACTAGGTTTCAAATTATTTTTGTGGTCAACAAACCTCATACTGTGGTTGATGTGGCTCTTCTGCAGGACTAGAGCTTCAGCTCATGCTTCAAAGAATTTCCCTGGTAAAAGAATGCCAAAGAAAATAAATTGCATGTAGTCAAAACTCACAAAAGCACACAAAAGAATAAGGCACCATGAAAGAAAGTGAGAAGAAAAAAGATAGCAGCAGTATACTCCATCCAGCTCCTTGAACTGTCAGACACTTGGCTAATACAAAAATGTTCAATGTTTGTTTGTTTGTTTGTTTTTAAGTAGGCTCCATGCCCAGTGTGGGGCTTGAACTCATGGCCCTGAGACCAAGAGTCACACGTTCTACTCACTGAGGCAGCCAGGTACCTCTCAATATGTTTTAAGACATGAAAAATGACACGGGCATATGAATAAAGAGCAATACATTTTACAATAACTGAGAAGATTAGGGAAAAAAATTAAATAGAACTTCTAGAAATAAAAATATATACATAATAATTAGAATTGGAAAAGATGGGTTATATTTAAAATGGGTTAAAAAGTATAGTATGCAGCAGATTCTTCATCACAGCTAATTTTGAACTCTCCGAAGTTATGTTAATAAATCTTTTATGCAATACAAAAAAAAGTATATTAGACACAACTGAAGAGATATTTTGAAATCTGGAAGATAGGTTTAAATAAATGATCTAAAATTCAGCCTAGAGTGACAAAGAAATAAAAAAATATAAATGAGAGATTAAGAGACATTGTATTTAGAATAGAAAAGACTGACATCTAAGAATACAATAGAGACAACGTGGAAAGGAAAATACTTAAAGACATAATATCTGATAATTTTTCAGATGTTTGAAAGATATCAAACCTCAGACCCAAGAACTCTTAACTAGTTACAAATACTACAAATGACAAATAATCCACATGAAGCACATCATGTGAAACTGCAGGGAACTGAATACAAAGACAAGCTATTTAAAGCAGGTAGAGATAAGAGACAAAAGAATAACAATTTAAAAGACAGCTGACTTCTGACAAAAACAGCAAAAGTCTGATGTAATGAGAGAAATAACTGTTGATCTGGAATTCTACACATGGGAAAACAATCTTTTCAGAAAGCAAAATAAAAATCATTATAGAACACAAAACCCAAAAGACATTATTCTTAACAGTGCACATTAAAGAAATTTTAGAGGATATATTTCTGGCAGATGGAAAATTATTCCACATGGATGATTTGAGGTGCATGAAAAAAATGGTGAGGAATAAACATTGAAATCTATGTGCATAAATCTGAACAGTCATGGTCTGGTTGGCTGTATGAAAGCAATAAAAATGTCTAATTAGGGGGTTAAAAAAAGTATCATACAAAAATATCATATGAATGGGATGGTATAATTGCACACAAATCATTCCAAAGTTCTAGCAGTCTTCAGGCCGAGGGTAGAAATATTAATCTAAGACTTTGTTAAGCAAGTATGTTAAAATACCCAAGGTAACCACTAACAGAGTAGGCAAAAAGAGGAAAGCTTTCAAAAAAATCTATGGAACAAATACAATGAGTAAGAGAAAACAGAAATCATCCAAAATAAAGCAAGAAAGGAAAAACTATATAGAAAAGTCAGGAAAAATAGCATAAAATAATATGATAGAATCCAAACAACTAGTTTAAATGTACAAAAACAATACATTTAAATTGACTAAAATTTGATGATGGGTAGACAATATTGTCAGTTTTCTTTTAAATCAGATATATGTCATTTATAAAAGATAGCCCTGAATAAATAGCAGAGAACAGCTGGAAGTAAAAAGAACAGAAAAAGATACAGAAAGCAAATGCTCATTAAATGTAAGCTAACAGAAGACAGAAAGTAGACTTTCAAGCAAGAAAAGCATTACTAAAAAAGCTCATTGCATAATGATATGAGGCCCAGTTTATCAGGACAAAAAACTAACACAGAATAACACAGAATAACAGAGCAAAATTGATAAAGTCATGAGGAGAAATGAATAAATCAACCCTCATAAAGAATTTGGGGATCATTTCTCCTTAATTGGTAGACCAAGCAGGCAAAATAAACAAGAATATTGAATTTTGAACAACACAATTGACAAGCTTGACCCAACGGACAAATTTAAAATATGACACTCAACAATTGTAGAATATATAGGATATCTAAACGTCTGAAATTATTAAGAAAATTGACCACATGCTACCCACAAAGCAAATCTAAGTAAATTTCAAATAATTGAAATTCTTGTGCAGACCACGTCTTCTGAGTCCAGTGCAATTAAGTTAGAAATAAATATGAAAAAGATAATTAAAATATGCTTGGAAATTTATTTTTTTTCAATATATGAAGTTTATTGTCAAATTGGTTTCCATACAACACCCAGTGCTCATCCCAAAAGGTGCCCTCCTCAATACCCATCACCCACCCTCCCCTTCCTCCCACCCCCCCATCAACCCTCAGTTTATTCTGTTTTTAAGAGTCTCTTATGCTTTGGCTCTCTCCCACTCTAACCTCTTTTTTTTTCCTTCCCCTCCCCCATGGGTTTCTGTTACGTTTCTCAGCATCCACATAAGAGTGAAACCATATGGTATCTGTCTTTCTCTGTATGGCTTATTTCACTTAGCATCACACTCTCCAGTTCCATCCATGTTACTACAAAGGGCCATATTTCATTCTTTCTCATTGCCACGTAGTATTCCATTGTGTATATAAACCACAATTTCTTTATCCATTCATCAGTTGATGGACATTTAGGCTCTTTCCATAAGTTGGCTATTGTTGAAAGTGCTGCTATAAACATTGGGGTACACGTGTCCCTATGCATCAGTACTCCTGTATCCCTTGGGTAAATTCCTAGCAGTGCTATTGCTGGGTCATAGGGTAGGTCTATTTTTAATTTTTTGAGGAACCTCTACACTGTTTTCCAGAGTGGCTGCACCAATTTGCATTCCCATCAACAGTGCAAGAGGGTTTCTGTTTCTCCACATCCTCTCCAGCATCTATAGTCTCCTGATTTGTTCATTTTGGCCACTCTGGCGTGAAGTGATATCTGAGTGTGGTTTTGATTTGTATTTCCCTGATGAGGAGCGACGTTGAGCATCTTTTCATGTGCCTGTTGGCCATCCGGATGTCTTCTTTAGAGAAGTGTCTATTCATGTTTTCTGCCCATTTCTTCACTGGGTTATTTGTTTTTCGGGTGTGGAGTTTGGTGAGCTCTTTATAGATTTTGGATACTAGCCCTTTGTCCGATATGTCATTTGCAAATATCTTTTCCCATTCCGTTGGTTACCTTTTAGTTTTGTTGGTTGTTTCCTTTTATGTATGCTTGGAAATTTAAAATCCATGATCTAAGCAACTCATGGACCAAAAACCAGTTCATTAATATTGGAACTTAGAAAATGTTTAGAATTGAATAACAATAAAATATTAAATATCAAAAATTTTGACATGTGAGCAGAATTTAGAGGACAATACATAATCATATATGCTCTATCCAAAAGGAAAAAGTCTCAAAATTAATGAGCTAGTATCCAAATTAAGAAACTGAAGATAAAACATGTATGTTATCAGTTAGCAATGGCTGTGTCTCATCAGGATTTTGCAGATGGAATCCTGAAAAGGGAGGATTGTCCTGGATTATCTGCCTGGGCCCAATGTAATCACAAAGATTCTTACAAAGAAGTAAGGAAACAGGAGGATAGCAGGAGATGTGATGATGGAATCACAAGCCAGAGAGGGGGAACTGTTTGAAGATGCTATACTGCTGGCTTTGAAATGGAGAAGCAGCCATCTTCCACAGAATGTGGGAGGTTTCTAAAAGGTAGACAAGAAAAGAAAATAGATTCTCCCTTATGATCTCCAAAAGACACTTCAATTTTAGTCTAGTAAGACCCATGTTTGACTTCTGATCTTCAGAACTGTAAGATAATAAATTTGTATTATTTTTAACAACTAAGTTTTGGTAATTTGTTACAACTGCAATAGGAAAATAATACAGTGGGTTTGGTTATGGATGGCTCTTCTCTGCTCCCCATAGTGTCACATCTACCACAGATTAACCTGGGCAGTTCACATGGCAGTGGAAGTTTCAAGGGAGGGGAAGTACTCAGAGACTTGGAACAAGCACACCATTACTTCCAACACATTCTGTTGGATAAAGAACAGCACCACCCCACAGTCAAGGGATGAAACAGACTCTACCTCCTAATGGGAGAAGCTCCAAATCACATTACAAGGGACAAGGATACAGGGAGGGTTACTATAGCAATTTACAGCCATTTTGGAAAATAACAAGGTTGAAGATGCCCTACTCTATAATCCAGGAATTACATTTCAAGATACAGTCCCTAGAGAAATATTTGTCAG